GCACCACTTTCCAGCCCTAATGCTGGGCAGGGCTCAGGGGGCATTCCACTACCCCTGGACAAAATGTCACCTTAGGAGGGAGAAAGGCAGGGGCAGCCAAGCCTCCTGCTCAGTGCACCACTGCTCCATGGCTTTGCCTGGCACAGCTGTGCCCAGAACCAACAGCTCTCCCATTTCTCCAGGGATCTTAGCACCACAATGCCATACAGAGGCTGGGCACAGCCCAGTGTGCCTGCCTGTGCAGGCAGGCTGCCCTCCTACCCAGACGTCACCCATGGGGCTGCCTTCCTGGCAGGGGACCCTGACTGCCTGTGAGGGCTCCCAGTCCTACCATGCAATCCGTGGAGTACCTGGGTTTACCCCATGCCATGCTGCTGCCCACAACTGGGCACCAGAAGAGCGTGCAAGGCAGGCTGCACCTTCACCTCAGTCCTCTCTCCAGACACGTGCCCACCACTCCTGCCTGCCACCACCATGGGGATGAGTCAGAGGTGAAAGGTGTCTCCACTTGCTGCAGGACACAACCAGGTCTGCACCCATGTCTGGGCCATCACATGCACTAGGATGGACAGGCTCAGCCCTGGCATCACTCACCAGGGCCTAAATTTGGCACAAAGAGCCCCTTGTTCTGCCTTTGCCACAGTGAACTCAGCACTGGCAGCCAAACACACACTGTCTGGCTGAGCCAGCCCAGGACGCTTCCCAAACACCATCCCTGAAGTTCACTCTGGGCCCTAATGGTGGGCACCAGATGGCTCACGGGAATGTCTGCCTGTCTCAGAAGAAACTTGTCTTAAGAATCACAACCAGAACAGTGCCAGAGCAGTGCTCACCCTGCGCCACACCAGTCTCCATCCTTGCCGCTGACGTGCCCAGGGAAGCCTGTGCCGGAGGGGAGGGCATTTGCAGCCCCATGGAAGGCTTAAGATCGCGTGTGACCACTGCCGTGGGACTCTGCCACAGAAAGGGATCCTGCCCGGAGTGGGCTCAGAGGCTAAACTCCGCCACCGAGTACGGGGACGCCCTTCCTCTTTCCGGCCCGCGCCCCCCGCGCCACAGGCGAGGGCCGCCCCCTCTCCGCACACACCTCGGCCGGCCGCAGCGGTGACCCCGGGGGACCCTCCCCTGAATGCACAAGGCGCTGGAACAAGCCCCTTTTGTCTGCCGAGCACACGCGGTGGTGGCGTGTCCGTGGGAGCGCGAGGGCCGACACCCCGCAGCCCGCAAGCCAATCCCCTTCTCAAAAGTGGTGAGGAACATCTCCTCCTCCGGCAACCGGCGGACCCACGGGGACCCACCACCCCGAAGGCCAGCAGCGAGGGGGGACGCGGGCACTTACTCCCTCGGCGCCCAGCTCCCCACCCGCCGGCGGTGCCACCTCAGGGCGCAGGGCTGGGACTGGAGCCACTTTTCCAGCTCCCCCAGCCAGACCGCGCTGGCCGCGTCCCGCCGAGGGCGTGGAACGGCCCGGGGGTGCAGTCGGCCCGGCTCGAGGCAGGGAGCAGCCCCGGGGCCGTCAGCCCGGCCCGCCGCACCCCGGCTCAGCAGGACGGCGACACCGGGCGGGCAGGCGGCCAAATCGTCCGGCGACAGGGCCCCGTCCGAGCTCCCTGGAGGGGTGGCTATTGGAGCTCCCCTGGTCGCTGCCCTGCTCCTTGCGGGTCTCCTGGCGAGTCTCCCCGCGGAGCGATGCGCTGGCGGGGGCCGCGGGAATCGGTGACCCTCTGTGTGGTGAGACGTCGGGGCCGCAGCGGTCACCCTCACCATTTGCTCCCGGCTCCGGCCGGGCTCCGCTCGGCATCGCACCCCGGCGCCAACCCCGTCCCGGGCACGGTCCTGCCCCCGCGTTCCAGGGGTGGCGGGGCATGACGGGACGGACTCTGGTTCCACCACCGTGGCCCTACACGTCCCCGCGGAGTCCGGTGCCCGGAACGCCCGTAGGCGCGGCACCGACGGATGGGCAGACAGGGGGCTGAGCACCCCCGGCTACAGCCCGCGGGACGGGACCGGGAAAGACGTGAGGGGGAATGTGGGGCCGCTCCCGACGCCAGCCCAACGGATGTGCCAGAGGAATTTCTTCCTGCCGCCGGGCCCGGGCTGTCCCTCCGCCCCTCTCGCTCTCACTCTTCACGGCGACTCCAAGTGGAGGGCCGCGGAGATCGTACGTGCGAGTGGCCGTCCCCGACCCGCCGCGCCAGGACACGAGACCTCGCGGCCGGGGCTCACGCACCCCCGACGCCGCCGCGCCCCGGGTGACCTGCCATCTTCCCGCGCCCCGCCACGGGCGGGAGGCCCCTCGCGGGGGCATGTCGCGGAGCCCACGCGGGACTCTGCCGGCGACTCCTACCTTGGAGACGATAAGGGGCTCGCCGTGCTCTAGCCCGCCGCGCAGCGTGAAGCCCCAGGGCGCGCCCCCCTGCAGCTGCACATGTACGTACTGGGGGGCGCCGGGCCGGCCCTCGGCCCGCTCCATGGCGGCTACAGCTACAGCCCCATCCCGGCCCAGCCCCGAGCTGTGGAGGAAATGACACCCCCGCCTGCCCGGGCTGAGCGGCGCGGGGCGAGTGCGGGGCGGGGCCGCTCCGCACCGGGACTGCTCCGCCGCCGCCAATGAGGCGCGGGGGGACGGCGGCGGCCGGTTCGGCACGGCTCAGCACAGCTCATGGCATGGCTGTGCACACAATAGCACAGCACAGCACCTTTCTACTCAGTACCGTGGCATACCATCCTTTAGGCAAGGGACCTGACGTGAGCTGCTTGGCTCATCTTGGTACAGCCCAGCCGGTGTATTTCAGTTCAGTCCAACTCAACCCAGCATGGCACGATATGGAAGCCTGGCAGACCTCAGTGCACCACGATACATCACAGCTCAGTTCAGCGTGGGGTGGTAGGGGGGCCAGCATGGGTTAACTGGCCCAGCATGGCTCAGCCTGACATGCCTCGGTGCAGTTCAGCTGGGTTGGCACATTCTGGCTTGTCTCAGCTCAGTTCAACATGACACAGGGCTAGCAAAGTTGAGTTTGGTACAGCGCAGAATGACCAGGGGCCTCATCTGGCTTAGCTCCACTTGGCCTGGCCCAATTTTGTTCAGTGCAGTTCAGCTTGGTTGACTTGGACAAGCAGGGCTGGCAGAGTTCAGTTCAGCAGAGCTTGGCTTGGCTTGACTTAGCTTGACCATGCACAGTTTCAGCTCAAAATGACCCATTTGGGTTCAGCACAGTATGGTGCCACCAGGAACACACACCAATAGGGACTGCTCAGCACAGCGTAGCTGTTCAACACCACTCAGGTAGGTACAAGAGGGTGGCAGTAGGGTGATGCAGCCCCCCCGGCTCCCCACCATGTAGTCACAGTGGCACCCCAAGCTCCACTGCCTGCAGGCCAGCACATGCTGCTGGCTCCTGTCTGACCTACCCATGCCAGCCCCCACCCTGTCCATATCCTGCCGGGCACTTTAGGGTGTGCCTGGCAGTTTGGCCGTTCTTCACCTTTGTCTTTTCCCTGCTAGGGCCAGGAGAGGCAGCTGTACCGCTTGGGGGGGGAAGCTGGCAATGGCAGCCAGGGATGGTGGGAATTGATCATCATGGATTCCCGGGGAACCCGAGAGTCCTGCTCCTCCCCTTCCCGCCTGGGGCCACGACTCTTACTCATCTCCTTCCCAGACAACCGGCCCGGAAAGCTCTGCTCTGCAAGCAGCGCCTACAGCCCCGGTTGCCCGCCATGGCCTGGGAGGCTCAGCTTGCAGTGCCAGGCTGGTTCATTCCCAGTGCTGGAAGGATCTCAAGTTTTTTTGGTAGTCCCTGTCCACAAGCACCTGTCTTGAACTCTGCCTGCTGCCTCTGCAGCCCAGCTGCAGCCAGACCAGTACAGCCAGAGTGTCACAGGGCACAGGGTAGAGTGGTACCTGGGCTATTTTTAGTGCTTGAGCCCACCCAGGAGACATGCATAACTCCCCCCCATACAGCCTTGATATGTCCACCACCCTGACCCCACCTGCCTTGTAATGCCCCCAAATAATGACTGGCTGCTGCCATGTCCAGACTTTTCCCAGCCTTGACTGGCTTGTCTGACCCTTGTGTGCTTTCCCAAATGAGTAACAAGGGCTGCCTGGCCAGGCAAGAAGGCTCTTGCGCCCTGGCTCCTCATATGGCCCCATAGCACATTTAGCACCACACACACCCCCACACAGCCCTCCCAGCCCTTAGCACGGTGCCCAGCTGGCACCAAGAAGGGTGGGCAGCAGACACCAGTATAATCCCTCCAGCTCTTCCCATGTCCCTATGCCTGCACCAGTGATTCCCAACCAGTGTGCTCACTCTCTGGCCACTTCCATTCCAGCAGGAGAGCAACAGTGTACTGTGGGTCTGGGCACAACACCAGGGGCTCTGGAGGTGGGACTGGCTGCAGCTGCCCACACCACACTATAGTGTGCCCAGAGGGCATTTCCCAGGCAAGCACTGTCCCCAATACAGAAAGTGGCTCAAGTGACCCATGCCAGCAAGAGGGTGAGCATCATGCTCACCTCTCGGCTTTGAGCAGGTGATGGCAGAAAGACCTGGAAACTCGTTAAGGTAGGCAAAGTTGCAGGCATGCTGATGGTGGTGGCAGCATGATGCCTACAGTGGGGTACTGCTGGCTTACCCAGACATACTGCTAGGCTCAGGGTCACTGCTCACCCACGTGTCTTAGTGCCAGCTGGACAGAGTGAGGCACTGGGCAGCCTGGCTGTGCTGTGGGACTGCTGGGGAGCAGAACTCCAGGCTCTGTGTCTGCTTGGGGCAGTGCAGACCAGCATGCAGCAATGGGCACAAAGTTGATGAGCTGCTGATGGAGAGTCAGCAGAGTGGAGGGAGCTGGAGGGACTCTAATCGCACAAAAGCAACCTCTTAGGCTCTGTCTAGCCCCAGGGACCCAGGGAGCTCCTGCCTCTTTAAAACCTGATTGAGTCCATGCCTTTAAAATGGGCCTGGGCAAGGACCTCCTACCCTGTAGGAGGAGGCTGAGTCAGGAGCAGGTGGGCTGAGTGAGCTGATTCTCCCACCCCACTTCACCCCACTCCCCTACCCTTGCACCTTTACAGCTCCCATAGCCAGGCTCTGTTGGGCTAGCTTTGCTCCTGGTCTGGATTTTAGTCTGGAATTTGTCCCTTTTTGCACAGATTCCCCCCACCTTTCTATTCCTGTGCCAAGCTGAAGCAGCTGGTGTGGTTGTCCTGTCTTGATAGAAGCTGGAAGCACCCTGGGATCCTTTTGCTGGTGCCCGCAGTCAGCTCTCCCTCTCAAGTGAGGAGAAGCATGACTGCAGGTTTTCCCTAATTCTTCTGCTGGCCAGCCCCACCTTGTACCTCTTACCTGCTCCCTCCCAACATTCACCTATCATGGCTATGCCCTACCCTTTCACCAGCCTCCTCCTTCTCCTTGTTGTGCCCCTTTCCCAGGCTGCAAACCAGTCCCCACTGCCCCTTGCCTCCCTGCCCGCTGTCCCCACCCTGCCCCTCCTGCAGGCCCTGCAAACCCGGGCTCCAGGCAGCCCAGGCTGGCAGGTGGGGCCAGCCAGTGGACAGCCCCTGCGCTACATGCTGAATCTGTACCGGCGTGCTGCTGACCGTGAAGGCCGGCCCCGCCGCAGCCGCAGCCTGGGCACCAACACCATCCGCCTGATCCAGGCCAGTTCCCACGGGGGTCAGCCCTGGGCAGGTAAGGAACTGGTGAGCACTAAGGATAGTATGGGCACTTAGCAGAGCTAGCTGGGTTGAGCTCTGAAGGTGAGGTCTCTTGCCTGCTTCCTTCCCCCTCTCTACAGTGTCCTGGCTGTGTTGCTCTTGGCCATGGGGTTCCACCTTGGCAGGAGTCCAAGGCTCTACCCCAGGGATGAGATGGGCAAATGCATAGCTGGCCCTTGTGTGCCCTTCTCTCCTTCCCACTCTGCCTAATGCTCTGCCAGGCTAATCGTGTTGGTGGAGAGGATGGGAAATGTTACAGATTCTTTGCCCTTCATGCCACCAGCAAGCCTTGGCTCATGGCTTCTGTTTGCTGCAGCTTCTGCCTTGTGCTGGGGCAGATGGCTGTCACAGGCTCTGCTGTGCTGTGTGGCGCTGTGGCAGCACCATGAGAGAAAGGGATGCTCCACAGTGCCTCCTGCACTATGCTAACAAGTCACTGCTTCCCTGCAGGTCGCTGGTACTTGCAGGCCCTCACCTACCACATGGAGGGCCAGCCAGAGGTCGAGCACCTCCTCAGAGCTACTGTGGTCTACCTGCCCAGTCTGTCACTGGCCCACGGTCGCCTTCTCTGTGCTCTGGAGCTGGTGATGGCTGGTGAGGCACCCAGGGTGCTGCTCAGCCCTACTGCCCGTCCCCGCCATGGCTGGGCTGAAGTTGACGTCACGCCTTATCTGGTGCTGGGAAACAGCAGCGCGGGGAGCCTGGCACTGCGGCATGTCTGCGTGCGTGCTGGCCGAGCAGGAGGTCACGATGCCCCTGTGGCCCCTGGCCACCCTTTCCTCCTTCTCTACCTTAATGATACCCAGGCAGGGTTGGCACCTCTGGCAGCAGAGCCCCACCGACACCGACGCGATACAGGGACATTGGCTCATGACCTGCCCAAGTACCTGCAGGACCAGGGAGGGGAGAAGAGTGACTGTTCCCTCCGCCCCTTCCCTGTCAGTTTTGCACAGCTGGGCTGGGACCACTGGATCATTGCTCCTCACCGCTATAACCCACGCTACTGCAAGGGCACCTGTCCCCACCTGCTCCGCTATGACTTCCACGCACCCAACCATGCTGTGGTGCAGGGTTTTGTTCATCAGCTGGTGGATGCCAATGTGCCCCGGCCCTCCTGTGTGCCCTATCGCTACAGCCCCATCAGTGTCCTCATGATTGAGCGCAATGGAGGCATACTGTACAAGGAGTACGAGAATATGATTGCAGAGTCCTGCACTTGCCGGTAATTTCCACTGCTCCAGCACATCACCCCTGGGCTCTGCCTCTTCCTGCAGATCTGGACTTTAGGGTTTATCTTGCTCTGCCTGGGGCTCACTTGGCTCATCTCCCCTCCCCATGCAGTGCTGCTCAGTGGGGAGGTTTTACAATGACAGTTTTATGTAAATTGTGGGTTTTTAAAGGCAGGAACCTGTGTTGGGGTGGTTGCCCTATGGCATCTGTCCTTCCTGCAGCCCCCATGGCTGCTGCCTGGTTTTGGTGGGCAGGGGGGCTTGGCCTGATGTTCTCAGATATGAGGTGTGTCCCTAAACTGGAGTACAAAGCTCTTAGGAGATGGCTGGGAGTCTCCTGGTGGAGCGAGGGCAGGGAGGGAGGAAGTCCAGGTGTCTCTGTGTTTTGCATCTGACATGTTGGTGGTGTCAGGATCTGATGTGACCCTGCCCTGTGGCATTCCTTCCCAACTCACATGCACCCCATCCCTATCTAGTTTCAACTGCAGAGGCATCTCACCAGGCTGAGAACTTGGGCTGGAGGGAGGAAGCCTCTCTCCTCCCCCGGATTTCTGCTCTGGAAGGGCTATGAAAAACTGGAGGGACCTGAGCTGCCATCTCTGCTTCTGGTGCTAGAGGCCAAGGCAGCTGTCTGTGCTGGGCTCTGCCTGCTGTTTCCTCTGTCACACTTGTTCTTCAACTCCTTGGCTTGCCCTCTAGCAGGGCTCAGGTCTTGTTCCCAGAGGTCAGATTCCTGTTGCAGATGTCTCTCTACCTTCTTGCACTCTTGCTGTCACACAGGCCTTGGGCTCTGCTGGGCTCCTGGCATGTCCCTGTTCCCAGAAGGGTCAGTCCCACTCTCAGCACCCCTGCTGCCTGACTTTTCTCTATTTATTTCTTGACTGTGAATAAATAAATTGATTGATTTTGCTAAAGACCATCTTGGCCTGTTCTTGCACTGTCCCCGGGGTGCAGCAGGTGCACCTGGGATAGCTTGCCCTAGGCTGTATCCCTGTGCAACTGCCCTTGTGCTTCCACTGGAGGGGGCAGGTGCAGGGGTAAATCCCAGCTGGTTCAAGCAGGGCCTATGAGAAGTGCCTCCCCTGCCCTAGTGCAGAGGAGACCACATGTGGCTGCAGGCAGCTGCCTCCATGGGGCTAGGAATGAGAGATGCTCTGCATCCCTCTGTATGGGGCAAGTCCTAGGTCACCATGGAAGAGCAATGAGCCAGGTCTCCTGGGTCTGTCTGTCACCATGGCCAAGGCATTTCTCTGCTGGGGCTATTGTGGGTAGGTATCTGCAAACAAACCTGACTGCTGCTGGATATGGTGCCCTGTCTGCAATGCTGGAGCAAAATTTCCATTCTTTGAGCAGCAAGGCATGGTGGCAGTCATCATCCTTGGTTTTAGAGCTGGGGGGCACTGTCACCTGGGTGCTGTTTCTCCACAGCTCATGCTTTTGCCAGGGTCTCCTCTTGCTTGGGGTCCAGCCCCTTCTGTTATTGCTGGCCCAGGCTCCATGGGGATGTTTCAGCAATTTTTTTTCCATGAGTGCTGTTGGATGGGGCCCTGTAAACGCCAATCGCTCCCTCTCCTACCAGTCTCAAAGTTTCTTTCCCATCCTGGAAGAGTGAAAAACCATAGAGCCCCAGGTTCTCTCTTGTTCCTTGCCCCCAGCTATCCACATCTTGGTGATGAGTGGGGAATGTCTTCTGCTTTTTTGGAAGCTCACAGATCTGAGCCCTATCAATCATTAAGCAGGTGCTGTTGATTCATTCAGGCAAGTGATGGTAAAAGACATGGAGAGGGGCAGGCTCCCAGCCCTGGACACCCCTGGATGCCAGTGCTGCTTCCCCGCCCCCTGCCTCAACCTGCTGCCAGCATCCCTTGGACCAGCTGGGCACCTGGAGCTGGGTGAGCACTGGAGTCTGTCACCCCAGCCCTAGGTGCATTTATGCACTGTGCCAACGAGCTCTTGAGTCTTTTGGGATGGGCCTGTTCCTTGAGTACCTATGGGTGCCCAGGAGCAGCTCCAGCAGCAGGATCACCTCTGTGCTGGTAGTGGGAAAGGTGCTACCACAGAGATGGAGGAGCAGTGATTCAGGGTAAGATTCACTGTCCCCAGCTGACACAAGCACTGTGCCTGCATCATTGCTGGGAGTGCAAGGCACAGGGTGCAGTCACCCTAGACTGCTGCCTGGGTGCACCTTGCAGGGATGATCTTCCTGCAGATCCTGCAGCTATGTGAGCCCCTTGGGCACAGCCTGGCATTCCATCGGGGAGCACCAGGAATCCTGGCTTTGGAGACACGCACCCCAAGCCACCCTCAGGTAGGGATCTTGCTTGTGGAGGTGCTGTCGGCACAGGGGGCTGCACTGGCCCTTTTCTCTCCCCCAGGCCAGCTAGTGCATTCCTGTTCCCTTCTGCCTTGTTCCCAGCTCCTTCTCCTGCCCCAAACCCCACACTGAGGCTTTGCTTTGTTTCCACAGGGTGCCCATTCACTATCCCTCCTGCTGCCCCTCCTAAGTGGGCATGAGCGCCTCACACCCCACATCCTGCAGGCTGGCACTGGGCAGAGAGGGGATGTGTCCCATGTGCCCTTGCAGTGCTGGGGCAAATCTAGGCTGGGCACAGTACAGGGGCACCAGGATGGAGATCCCTCAGCTGTGGAGATCAGGTGCTCCCCAGGCACCTTGCCAGGACTGTAGCTGGATGCAAATGGTGATGGCCAGAATCCAGATGCCCTATGGGTGCCCTGCAGAGATGCTGGCGGCTCCCAGCTGGGGTGGTTTCTCTGCCCAGGGCCACTCAAAAATTATGCAGAGCCATTACCTGAGAGGAGCAGTGCCTAGTGGAGGCACCTGACAGATGGAGTTTGCAACACTATGGAAGCCTCAGCACTCAGAATGGCTGACAGGGCCAGTGCAGTCCCCACTACCATCTCCAGGAATCACCATCAGCCTGGCACTACTCCTCTCTCTCATCTTGCTTCTCTACACCTCCCTCCAGGTGGGTCTTGGCATGAGGGGAAGGTGCCAGGTGACTCAGGACATTCCTCCCTTCCCCATCTGCCCTTCTGGATGTTCCAGGAGCCCCAGGGGGTGGGGAGCACATGGCCCCCCAGATGCCCCTTCTAGAGGATGGAGAGCAGCAGACCCCTGGGTGCCCACTGCTGGCACAGCACAGCACAGCACTGAGTGTGTCACCAGAGCCTGCAGGAACTGGGGACCCCTGCTCATCCCCTGCATCACCCTGTGCCTAACCTTCTCTGCATGCCTGGGACTCTTGATGTCCCTCATCCCTACAAGCCCTGTGACCCGTTCCATGTACCCTGATGTCCCCAGCCATGGGGCCTCAAAAGTACCCCAACCCCATCAATTTTGGGAGTTCTCGACTCTGGGACCCCCACCCCTACACTATTCCCCACTGCCCACATTCCAGGGACCTCCTGTGCCCACCATTGTGGTGTCCTCCAGCTCCAGTGACTCCAGCCTAGGCATCCCCCTAGCAGAGCCCAGCTTTGGCCTCCCCCATCCAGGTGCCTCCAGCTCAGGGATGCTCTCGCTCTGGACACCCTGGCACAGTGCTCAGGGATGCTCTGCCCCACCACAGTATGAGTGCTGACAGCCACTAGCATCCCCAGGAATGCCCACTGTGCACTGGGATCCCCAGAGACCAAGGGACTCACTCAGTGCTGGGACAGGACTCTCCAGCAGCCATATGTCCTGTGAGTTGGACCAGGGGGAGACTGTGCTGCTGAGCTCCCTGGAGCCATGCTGTGGCTGGGCTGCTCCAGACGCTCTGCACAGAAAATAAACCTAATGCACCCTGCCCACATTCAGCACCTTCTTGCCCCTGCCTAGCCGTGCAAAGGCAGGTTACATGGATGACAGGATCATGTGTGCCTCAGGGTGGCACATGGCACCTGCGGGCTCCTGTCTCCCACCCAACAGCTGCAGAGTCCAACGCAGCACCCACCTGGCCCCCATGTGCCCAAAGGGGTCCCCGGGATGAGGCGTGCTGTGGCCTTCAGGAGCCCACTGTGCCCAAGCACTGCTCGTGCATCTATGTGGCTGCACATCTGTATGATGCACATGTCTGCCTGCACCTGTGCACGCAGGTGTATGCAGTGTATGCCTGTGTATGCACATGTATATAATTGTGTATGTGCATGGGAAGTGTGTCCGTGTGCTTATGCGTGGGTGCTTATAGGTGAGTGTATCTGTGGGTATCCACAGGTTTGCACACCTGTGAGTGTACATAGGTGCACGTGTGTGTGTGTATTTCTGTGTGCTATGAACACACAGAAAAGCAAAGCATAGCTGTGTACACATGTGTGCATATGGAGGTATGTGTGCACACGAGTCTGCCTGTGCATGTGTTCCAGTGCAGGTAGGTGTGTGCACACCTGTACGTGTGTGCATGTTTGTGCACGCCCATGTTTCTATGTGCACGCGCACACCTCTGGACTTCTCCATGCCTCTGTCCACATGCGTGTCATTGTGTCTGGCCATGCACCTAGCATACGTATGCGTGTGCATACAGACCCACACTTGTATGTGTACCTATCTGTGTGGCCGGCCGTCTGTGTGTCTGTACAGTCTCACACCAGTACGCGAATCAATCCGTGCGTCCCTGCGCCACACCACACAGCAGTCCATGCATCTATTCCACACCAGCACAGGTATCCGTGCGTCCGCGCGTCCGTCCCTGTACCCGAGCATCCGCGTGTGTGGCCGTGTGCCCGTCCATGTATCCGTGTGTCCGTCCTTGTAGCCGCGTATCCACACTCCGCGTTGCTCGGCCTTCCCCCAGCAGGGGGCGCCGAAGGCCTCCCCCCCGCCCTCGGGGCCTCCACGTCCTCCAGGTCCTGTTCGCTCGATAGTGAGCGCTCCGCGGACCGAAGCCACCGCCGGAGAGGAGGCAGGGCAGCGCGGGTGGGGCGGCCGCTCAGGGGCCGCAGCGGCTCTCGGGAAGCGCCGTCGGCGGCAGCGAGCAGGCGGTGCCGCGGGGCGGGGCTTTGACAGGACCCGTGCCGTCCCGCCGGTGCCGGTTCCTGTCCTGCTGCTGCCGCCGTCATGAGGAGCCGGAGCAACTCGGGTGTGCGTCTGGACGGCTACGGGCGCCTGGTGCAGCAGACCATCCTCCGCCACCAGGTGCGGACTCTGCCCGGAAATGAGGAGCACAGCCGGGGCTTCGGCGCGCCCCGCCAGCCGCTGGGCCAGGGAGTTGTGTGTGAACGGTGCGTCCCCTCCGCAGGACGCGGTGACGGGGCTGCTCCCCGCCAGCGCCGACCACCAGGACGCTTGGGTCCGGGACAACGTGTACAGCATCTTGGCGGTGTGGGGTCTTGGCCTAGCCTACCGCAAGAATGCCGACCGCGACGAGGACAAGGCCAAGGCCTACGAGCTGGAGCAGGTAGGAGGGAGCAGGAGCCGGGGGCGGGGCTGTGTCCCTCGGGGACGGCAGTCACCCCGCTCTGGTCAGCTCACAGCTGAGTCAGGGGCAGTGAGGACGAGGACGCGGCTGTCCCCGACACGGGAGGCAGTGGGAATGTATGTCAGAGCCTGCTCTTCCCAGACCACACTGGAGCCCAACCAGAGGGTCTAGATCTCTGGCTCAGGC